GCTCTTCCATAGGGGTGTATAAACTAACACTTTATACTCTCACTCCTCAAAAATCCCTAATCAGTATCATAACCGCAGATATCTTTATAACAATGACAATTCTGGCTTTGTTAGAAAGATGAAACAACCGCTAACATCCCTTTTTGACTTGCTAGCAAAGACACTACATTGTGAAAGATTTTGATGTAGCACTCTCAAGTGAAGCATGTTTCTGGCATTATAAGATCAGAATATGCTATCCTACTGAGACAGAGTTTCAGAAAGGCTGGCATTGTGACCTTCTCACCTGCTGTTTCATTTCAGCATAGACTTTTTCTGAGTTCAGCTCCACCTGCCGCTTAAACTCCTCCAGGGCAGCATCTGCCTGCTGGGCCTGCAGCCTCTGTACCTCTGTCACCCGAGTCAGCTGCTCCTCCTTCTCCCTAGAAAGTCACAGAAAATTTTCAGAGTTCAAGTATCAAATAAAAGAACAAGTGTGCCAGTGTAAAAGAGAGGCCTTTAACCCTATCAGTTTAAAATAGTATTCAGATTTCAATTTCCTGTCCCAGCTTCTGCCAAACTTCCCTTAGCAATACTTTGAAGAAGGGAACAGAAGGCTAAAGTTATTTTCGCTTTCTCTTCTTGAATTTCGTACGCCTAAACACAGTGTTCAGAGCTTATGACAATACCTCCATCTTCAAAGCCTGCGTTGACTCGAATGGTTTACTACCCACTGTACTCCCTTCTTTTAATCTCACCTTTAAAGTATATTGCTCCCTCAATATTTAAATTAATTCCTTTTAGCATGATGGTCTTCTCCCATTAAAAACAAACAAACAAACAAAATTATCCCAGTGCCATCTTTGCTCAGATAAGAAGCAGGATTAGTCTCTGCTTGACACATATCAAAATGCAAAGCAGGGTAATGTGTGACATATGGTACCTTCTTAATCTATTAGAAACCCATAATGCTGTAATATCTATTCAGCCTCTAAAATAATGACAGATGTATAGTGGTTTCACTTTATGCAAAGACATTTCATATCAACAGCCTATACTGCTTGACATATTAATGTCAATACATACATAGAAAGCAGTTTGGCTTTCTTAAGATATCATAGTATATCAACAGACATGCCTGTATAACATTTTATGTACACAGACATATACATATACACACCTAAAAAACACCATATTGACACATCATAAACAAAAATTCTGATAACTTGTAAGTATTTAAGAAATTTTGATGTGATTCCTCACATAGGTAGTATTTTATGACACCTTTTACAACATGTTTCCATTATCGCAGGTCAGTGGTGTTGTCTGATTTTGTGTTAAACCACAGGAGAACACAATGGTGGTATCAATGGACAAAGCTGGCTCCACCAGTGGTTTGTAACAGAAGACATATTCAGCAGACCTGTGGTTGACATTTTCATTTTACAGGCAGAGGAAGTACCTCACGATAAATTTCCCATTTTGACAGAAATTATTTCCATATAAAACAAAGAATCTGACACATAAGAGACGGAAAAGACCAGCTAATTCATCTAGTCTGTCACCTTGCCAGCACTCAACTAGCTATTACAGCACGGAGCAAGCCTTTTCTAAAGGTCAGGAAGCTGCCAAGCCCAAAGTTACAGTATTCACATCCTCTTCTGTGGTTTTCATACCAGACTTTGACAATGGGACAAAGAACATAATCCTACATCTTCACAAAGTGTCTGTCTCCAGTGTAGGAGAGCAGGGTAATTCTATTAGCAAAGAGATCAAAGAAATGCCACAAGCCCTGAGTAAGTATATTACTGTTTACTTGCATAGTTTTTTCATTATGCATATTTAAAAAAAAATAAAAAAATTATTTTGGAATCTTACTCAGCTGACAGAATAACTGAGACATAAGCAGACTGTTATTTTCCTTAAAGAAAATGGAAAATACTTTTCTTACTCAGCAGAAACTGGAGCAAAACAGAACAAAAATCCTGTGTCACATTTTTGGTGATAATAGTTTAGGGGTTTTGGTTTTGTGTTCATAGAAGTGCATGTGCAAATTTTCCAGAGAGCTTCTGTCACCTCTGTGCAGATATGCTTTATTTCTTCTGCCACAGCAATTACATTTTCTAAACTCCTTTGAGGGAGAAGTATATCAGTATATTAATCTAAGTTGCCATATTCTGCGTTCATTTACAAGACAGTAAAAATTACACATCAAAAAAGAAAACACCACCAAAAATCAACATTTTTTTTTTCCCCTCATCTAAATTCAACTGGTAAAAACACCATTTAGGATTTAAGCTTCTGCTACAGAAAATCCAAAAGATCAAAATTGCAAGTACAAAAATCCTTGGACATATCTCAGAATGGGCTCATCAATGATGCCTCCAGAGCTAAAAATGATATGAACTGTTTGATGAGTTAGTTATGCATAGGCTCAAGCTGCAAAGGCATTCGGCTCAGTTATCCTCCTGAAACCCATGTACTAGGGAGCTGCTGAATATAGACATTTTAAAGTTAATAGCTCTCTGATACTGAATTATGGTCAGCACATTGTTTCCTTCTCCCACAACAAAATCTACCAGTTCACAGGAAAGAATACGTAAGAGGTTGAACTATCTTCCAAGACCTACGTACAGCTCAACACCCTGAAGGAGAAGATGGGAGTTGGGCAGGAGCGTGGTTCACCAGCGCAGCGCTATCCATGCGTTACCTTGGAGGAAACAGAGGGGAAAACCTCAACTTCTCCTCCCAAAATCCTTAATTCAGTTATAGGCACTGGGTAACAAATCTCTCTCCCTGTAAAATACACTATATACTTTCACTCCACACTGGAAACAATCAAAAACCAAAGCTTATTCAAACACATCCACACCGATAAGTGTCAAGAGACACTGGAACAACATTTTTGGGCCAGTCAGATGGAAATGCACCAAATCTACACGTAAAAGGACAAGATGTCAGTCCTTGTGCTGTTAATGAGCCTCCAAATTTATGCAACTTCTTCCTGAGGAATATATTTTTATTTTGAAATATTATGATGCAAACTTTTCGGAATCTGGTTTTATGCACCTTCCTTTTTTTTTTTTTTTAAGGACTTAATCCCATGAATAGATGCAACATCTCATTATAACCAGGAATAAAACTTCATTTTTTAAGGATGTGGGAGTTAGCTCTCTCTACTTTTTGTGCAGTTAAGATTTGTACAGAAGCTTAGAAAACATGTACAACAATGGACCACAGTTCACAAATATAAGAAAAGCTCTACTTTTTTTTTTTCCCCAAGACATTGAGCAATGTGCCTTGCATGAAGCACTAAAATATTCACTTTGAAGATTATTTTTTTTTCAGTTGGACTAGTTGTGGGGCCGAATACAATACAATTACATCACTTAAATCCCCTAAAGCTGAGCCGGCTTGAATATAAAAATAGGGTGAATTTACTCTTTGGCCCCAATTTAAAAAGCAGCAAATTCCTCTTGTTTCAGTGTATAAAGGATATGGAAACAGAATTAGCAATCTTACACAGCACAAACCATCTCAAAGTTGACTGTGAAGTCCGGAACTGCAATTTCAGAAAGCAGCACTCTGAAGTGTACTGATAAATGAAAAATATAAACATCTTACATACTTCCTCTTCATGCTTAATCATAAATATTTTCCTTGCTTCATAAAATGTCTTCCAAGAGGTAACGACTAAACACAGTAAGAGAATACAGCATTGCGAGTTAATGAAATCCAGTGATTTGCAGGAGAGATTAAATGAACTCAAGATGGTACGAGCCACTATTGTCACTCGTAGGGTTCTCACCATCCCCTGTACAAAAGCAAGTGCTGACCAACAGTGAATAAGAACAGGAAAGGCACCAGTCTTGGTCACAGCCCCTTTAACAAATTCAAACATTTGAGACTGCAAGTAAGCACACACATGTCCAAAACGTGTGCCTCCATGAGCTACATGTGGACAACTTCTGTGAACAGTGAGTTCACATCCCATTAGCAAATCTGCACACAAGCACCCTAGGTGTAGTTTAGAGAGCTTTCAGTGATACAAAAAATAACTAGGTTGTGAAAATGCTGATGTTTTCTTATAAAAAATTATACCATGCTTTAATTCATAAATATGCACATTCTTTGCCAGGTTTTCTAAAGCTTCTGGCAGCAGTGAAAATCCACTTGTGTCCAAACAGACCATTGTTTCCTGAGTTTAGTGGAGCACAAAAGCAGAGCAAGGAATTTCTATGGTAAGGATACATTTTGCCACTGAATAAGCTTCTGAAAGTTAGATTCTGACAAAGTCCACAAGAGGGAGAGGCTCCAGCTCTGGTTTAAGTCTGTTACAGGTTAGTATAGCTCTGGGCTTATGTCTGTAGATAAAAATGCACCTTGGTCTGTAAGGTTGAGGCATGGAAAAGCAGAGTAATGGCTGAGCCTTCAGTCCCACTGATGAAGCTGAGATCTTCAAAGGGTGATCTGCTTGGAAAGGCCAGGCTCTCCTCCTGTTGACAACCCTGATGATCCTGCATTACATATATACACTGATTCTATGTATTTACATTTGCTGGACTTACACAAGTCTTTGCCCATTCCTTCCTCTCCTCCCCAAATACTAATATTGCTTCACTACCCACCAAACTACAAACTATTCACTTGCTGGAAGGCAGCTGAAGAAGGATATTGCTGGGTTTGTTTCTAGACTTCTTTATTTTTATTTGTCAACACAAGAAATAAAAAAATTGACTCTTTTACTAAACTGTGTTGAAACAAAATCAGTTATCACCATTTATATAGTCCATTTAGATTTAGAAAAACCTACATAAATACTTGTTCCCAAAGGAGACAACCCACTAGACAACCTAATACCCAGCATCCTGAGTAGCTAAAAACATAAACATTATCAAAACAATCTTCCCATGCAAAAGCAAAATTAAATAAATTTACCTTAGTATCCTTTGTGTATAAGCTACACACACCAGTACCCATCCAGTATACAGATACATACATAAGGTTTTGTATATAGAAATAGAAGTGAACTCATGATCCTGCTCCTGATCTCAGATACTCTGACATTGAGGTGCCCAGACACTGGCAGGACTCCACAGGAATGAAGCAGTATATTGATTTATAGCCAAATTAAAGATCCATGACACCACTTTTTAGCTGGTCATGATAACCACTAAAAACCTCCCCATACAACAGCCCCTCTAATTTAATTTCTACAATGCCAACTATTTCAGACTACTTAAAGAATGTATTAAGGACTAAAGTACCACGTATTTGTAGAAAGAAGGAGTTACTGGTTTAGTTTATTGTTACAGAAAAATGCTTCAGTAGTAGTAACAATTCTCTGAAATACACAACTAGAAACTGAACTTCTCTTACTCAATTATTTTTATCAAATAGTGACAGTTAAATAACAGCTTTCTGTGTAAATCACACATTGGGC